AGACCTCTACAAAATGAAAATGACAAATTGGGAAAATTAGTTATTTAAAATGAAATGTGATTAAAAAAATCTAATAGGTTTGAAAAAAACTTGTTTGTGCAACATGTTGCCCAACTTACTAATGTACAAATAATGAACTATAAAAGGTTTTTGCTGAAAAAAGACTTTACAGCAGTACTCAACTAAACATCCCATTTTATAATCTCTTTGTATGTTACAAAGTGTAGTGGGGTAAAAAGTTCAATAATTCAAGTATAGTAAAAGTAGAAAGTTGCATGAGAATTGTAATGATTTGAGTTTTATGTGTTAAGTTTTGGGTTTATTTTGCTGTTCTGTGTTCCCTGGCCGTTTCTCAATCGCGAGGATGCTGGCTTGGTAGCACAGCCGAGCCGAGCATCTTGCTTCAGAAGCAAGGCAAGAATACTTCCTGGCATTCGGAAAACGAAGAGTGGAACAGGCTAGCAAGTGTGCAGGTGTGCGTCATATGAGAGGCCCCGCCTTACATCTTCCGCCACAGATTTGGGGAAATTGGTCCATGCGCAAAGCATTGTGGGGATTTTAAGGACGCGAAGTCTACCCATGTGCAGCCTCGAAATTTCCCCCAAACCAAGGACGCGGCCTCGGTGGAATTCCAAGTATGCTGGAGATTGGAACAGTCCTTCGGCGGCACTCGATGACGTAGCATCCTTGAAATATTGGCTTGGAAGCCAATATCCTCGCGATTGAGAAACGGCCACTGGGTGTTTCTCAATCGCGAGTACGCTTGCTTAGTAGCACATGTCTGCCGAGCATCTTGCTTCAGAAGCGAGCCAAGAATACTTCCTGACATTTGGAAAACAAAGAGTGGAACAGGCTAGCAAGTGTGCAGGTGTGCGTCATATGATAGGCTTACATTTTCCGCCACAGATTTTGGAAATTGGTCCGTGCGCAAAGCATTGTGGGGATTTTAAGACCGCGGAGTCTACTCATGTGCAGCCTCGATATTTCTCCAAACGGAATACGCCGGGTTCGGTAGATTTCCAAGTATGCTGGAGATTGGAACAGTACTTCGGCGGCACTCTATGACGTAGTATGCTTGAAATAGTGGCTCTGCAGCAGCTTTACTCGCGATTGAGAAACACCCACTGTCTCATGTTTTCCTCCTTGGTTGCATTCGAATAGTCCATTTAGCTTAGGAACCTTCCTAACGGAGTGAAATGACCCGGAAGTCCCTCAGTGGCAGCCATGATAAGTGCCGTTCGAATTCTCTAAATTAAAAGGAAAGGAGGTTTCAAACTTCCTTTATAACCTCCTTTAGCCTAGGAACCACTGGACCTCCCTAACCGAAAGGAGAGGAGAAAATGCTGCCCCACAATGCCTTGCAGCCGCAGCATTTGCCGTCACACAACAGTCGGCCGTTCACGGAAACAACCGATTATGAACGAGAAATGATATCATGAAAGTTACGGTGCTTATTAAGCATTTTAAAACGTATGTGGTAAGTTGCCAAAGTGCTTTGTTTTGAACGTTCATCAGTATTATAATCAAAAAGAGAAATATGAACGTTAGTTTTTACTGAAATGATCAAATAAAGTCAACATTTCACAGTCTTTACTGAGCTGTGTGGGGTTTGTTCAACTTTTAAAAGATGTTTGAATGGTGATATACACAGTGATAGATGTTAAGGACTAACGTTTATAATAAATACATTTGTATTGATTTTAAGATCTTTTCATACAATCATACGTATTGGGATCATTTGTATTAATGTGGACCGGAGGGAGAGGATGACGAGCATAAGTTTCACTTTCCTTTTTTATTTCAATTTCAACTTTGGTCATGAAGAATATGTTTCTCTGTTGTCCCCGTTCATAAAGCATAAAACAACAGCATCAGAGCAAGGTGCAGAGTCTCTAGATGAGTTTACAGTAGTCCCTCGTTCTTATTAAACATCCATGTTGTAGTCCGCTGTATAGAAAACTGTAGTTTCCATAGTTTCCCCACAGCAGCAGGCGCACATTTATGACCTCTGCTGGCGCATCATAAACACGTCGGATAGTGAAAGTGCAGTCGGATTCTCTAAAGTGCCGCAGTCTCTTCTCCTAAATCCTTTTGAATTCTCCTATCCACTATCCCTTAACCCCATGACGTTTCACTCCGAGGTCAACGAATAGACGATAGGGTTAGAACTTAGGAGCTGTTTTTTTGGAGTATTCGAACGCAACCCTTGTGTCTTGTCTGGTCCTACTTCCTGTGTGTGCCTTCCTGTCGTTAGTTTCCCTGGTGTGTCTGATTGTCTCATTGTGTTCACCTGTTGCCCTTGTGTTTCTCCCTCCTTTACCCAGCTGTTTCTTGTCCCGTGATTACCCCTCTCTGTATTTAGTTTTGTCTTTCCCTGTGTTCCCCTGTCGGTTCATTGTTTGTCTTCCCTTCACGTCACGCTCCATGTTTGTCCTTGAAGTTTTTGATCCTGGATTCTTTACTCGTGCTCCCCTGTTTTGGTAATGTTAAGTTTGTTTCTTGTTTTCTTTTGTCATCGGCTTTTTGTAAAATAAAGCTAGCTTTTTGTTAATACTGCATTTGGGTCCTACCTTTTCCACGCACCCTATCAGAATGAACCGACCAACTATGGACCCAGCAGATTTTTATTTTGACTTGGATTTGATCTCCCTAGAGTACACTCTTCAGTGTTATTATGCTGAGTGGAGTAGAACCTCGGCTAAAAGGGACAAAGAGGCTGTCCTCAAAAAGGCACAAATGGAGGTGGACAACGTGCCATGGTTGAGGAGCTCGTTGCCTGAATTGCTCAGAGTTTTTTCTCGTAGCCCTGAGTGCCAGTCTCCATTCTCTGACCCTTTCTTGGGATCCCGCCTGGCGTTTGGAGGTCCACGGAGCCTCCAAAAGACCTCTAAAAGACGCAAGGTCAGGAGGCCAGCTCGTGCTCCAGTGCCAGCCCACACAGCCATGGTACCGTGCTCCAGTACCATCCCACACAGCCATGCTTCCGTGTTCCGGTTCCGTGCCCAGCAGCCATGGTTCCGGCTCCAGAACCGGCCCATACAGCCATGGTCCCTGCTCCAGAACCGGCCCATACAGCCATGGTTCCGGCTCCAGTACCGGCCCACACAGCCATGGTTCCGGTTCCAGTACCGGCCCACACAACCATGGTCGCGGCTTCAGTTCCGGTCCCAGCAGCCATGTTTCCGGCTCCAGTACCGGCCCACACAGCCATGGTTCCGGTTCTAATACCGGCCCACACAACCATGGTCCCGGCTTCTGTTCCGGTCCCAGCAGCCATGGTCCCGACTCCAGTTTCGGCTCCAGTACTGGCTCTCTGGCCGACGCCAGCTTCCCGTGTCCTGTCGGCGTACCGGCCGACACCAGCCCCCGGTGTCCTGTTGGCTCTCGGGCCGACGCCAACCCCCCGTGTCCTGTCGGCGTACCGACCGTCTCAAGTTCCCTCTCGAGTCTCCTCTCGAGTTCCCTTTCAAGTCCCCTCTCAAGTCTCCTCTCGAGTCCCCTCTCAAGTTCCTTCTCAAGTCACCTCTCGAGTCTCCTCTCGAGTCTCCTCTCGAGTCCCCTCTCAAGTCCCTTCTCTAGTCCCTACTCGAGTCCCTACTCGAGTCCCTACTCCATGTCCTGTGCCGTTGGGGGTCCAGCCAACACCTGTTTCGTCGGGGGTCCTGCCAACTCCATGTCCTGTACCGTTGGAGGTCCAGCCGACACCTGTTTCGTCGGGGGTTCTGCCAACCCCATGTCCTGTTCTGTTGGGGGTCCAGCCGACACCTGTTTCGTCGGGGGTCCTGCCAACTCCATGTCCTGTACCGTTGGAGGTCCAGCCGACACCTGTTTCGTCGGGGGTTCTGCCAACCCCATGTCCTGTTCTGTTGTCGGTCCAGCCGACACCTGTTTCGTCGGGGCTCCTGCCAACTCCATGTCCTGTACCGTTGGAGGTCCAGCCGACACCTGTTTCGTCGGGGGTTCTGCCAACCCCATGTCCTGTTCTGTTGGGGGTCCCGCCGACACCTGTCTCGCCTGGGGTCCTGCCAACTCTATGTCCTGTCCCGTTAGGGGTCCCGCCGACTACTGTTCTGCCGGGGGTCCTGCCAACCCAATGTCCTGGTCCGTTGGGGGTTCCGCTGGGGGTCCTGCCAACTCTGTGTCCTGTTCCGTTGGGGGTCCCGCCGTCACCTGTCTCGCCGGGGGTCCTGCCAACTCCATGTCCTGTGTCGTTGGGGGTTCCGCTGACACGTGCTCCGCCGGGTTTCCTGCCAACACCATATCCTGTCCTGTTGGGGGTTCCGCCAATACCTGCTCCGCCGGGTTTCCGGCCAACACCATATCTTGTCCTGTTGGGGGTTCCACCGATACCTGCTCCGCCAGATTTCCTGCCAACACCATGTCCTGTCATGTTGGAGGTCCCGTCGACACCAGCCCTTGCTCCGTCGGGGGTCCCACTGACACCAGCCCATGTTCCGTCCAGGGTCCCGTCTACACCTGTCCCGCCAGGGGTCCCACCAGCTCCTGCTCTCGATCCCAGTGCTCCGGCGATCCAGCTGACACTGGAGGGGTCCCATTGCGGCGTACGTCGCCCTCCGGAGCTATCCCGTCACCGCCTTCGTGCCCGTCCTCCGGAGCGATCCCGTTGCCTTCCTGCCCGCCCTCCGGAGCTGTCCCGTTGCCGCCTTTTTGCCCGACCTTGTGCCCGGCCTCCTGAGTTCCCCAGCCGCTGCCTTCGCCCTCGGGCCCGGCCCCCTGACTCTTCCAGCCGCTGCCTTCGCCCTCATGCCCGGCCCCCTGAGTTCGCCCGCTGTGGCCTTCGCTCCTTTTTTAACTCTGCCTTGCCCCCGGGCCGTCCGCCCGAGACCCCCACCATGAACTCTGCCTTGCCCCCGGGCCGTCCGCCCGAGACCCCCACCATGAACTCTGCCTTGCCCCCGGGCCGTCCGCCCGAGACCTCCACCATGAACTCTGCCTTGCCCCCGGGCCGTCTGCCCGAGACCCCCTCCATGAACTATGCCTTCATTGTTTGTCTTCCCTTCACGTCACGCTCCATGTTTGTCCTTGAAGTTTTTGATCCTGGATTCTTTACTCGTGCTCCCCTGTTTTGGTAATGTTAAGTTTGTTTCTTGTTTTCTTTTGTCATCGGCTTTTTGTAAAATAAAGCTCGCTTTTTGTAAAATAAAGCTCGCTTTTTGTTAATACTGCATTTGGGTCCTACCTTTTCCACGCACCCTATCAAGAATAGGTTCAACATCAAGAACCACTAGTAGTACCTGAGTAACACTCCACCCTCATGAGAGAAATGAGGTCCACAATGTATGTCCTGCCCCAGGATGAGATATCATGTATAACCCTCTGTTCATCAGGAGTATTGTGTCACTATCTGCATGTTTCTTTACCTGAAGGAGCAGAGATGAAACCAGGCGTTGGTGTCAGCTTGTCAGAGACGTGCAGGATAGAGGCAGAGTCAAAGGTGACAGGTGGAAGAGAATGAAGATTCAAACCCCCCTCAGAGCCTCAACATCGGACCCTCAGCGTGAACCTGAGGCTGGAGCAGAAACATGAAATAAAAAACTGGTGGACATAAACCTGGATGTCTCATATGTGTTCTTTAAAACTCTCTAATGGTTAATTTTGGCAGACTTAGCATTCATTTTGTCTTTGCTTAGCTTTACCTTTTACACTGCAATCACACTGCTCTTCCACATGCATGATATCATGTTTATAACACAAACTAAGCTTTGAGTTGGACTTCTTATTTTGTGAATTTAAAATGCCATGAACCTAAAATACAAGAAAAATGATGCAGGTAATTCAAATTTTTAGTAATAATCATTAAAGATATTATAATAAAACAATATATATATATCATTATCTATACACACAAACACAGTGAGATAAAACTATAATCTGTTTACATGGTTTAATCCCAGATCTTTTTGGGCCTTTTTGCATTCAAAACATATGTTCAATGCAATATTAATATATAATAAATATTATATATATATTATATATATTAAAGGTGGGGTATGTAATTTATTTCAGAAACACTTTTTGTTATATTACATGGAATGCTCTTGAAGGTGGGGTATGTCCTTTTGGAGAAACCAGCTCGAGTGCGCTAGAATTTGAAATTACACAACCGGAAAAAATCTGCCTCTTCCTTCAGACTTCCTTACAGAGCCCCTCCTCCAACACACACGAACGCGCACATGACCAATGAGGGCACGAGATAAGTTTGTACACAGATGGAAGGCTGACAGGCAGGTAGGCCATCCAGTTATTTTAGCCGAGCCGACTCAGATGATTGGTCGTGCTTTTTACAGTACTACGGCTTCCACAGATGAAAATGTATTATGTATTTATTGTCAAAGCATTTAATTTATTCATTGCTATCAGGATGTTAAGAGCATTCCATGGAATATAACAAAAAGTGTTTCTGAAATAAATTACATACCCCACCTTTAACATCCCGATAGCAATGAATATATTAAATGCTTTGACAATAAATACATTAAAAATCTGTGGAAGCCGTGGCGCTGTAAAAAGCACGACCAATCATTTTAGCCGGCCCGGCTAAAATAACTGGATGGCCTACCTGCCTGTCAGCCTTCCATCTGTGCACAAACTTATCTCGTGCCCTCATTGGTCATGTGCGTGTTCGTGTGTGTTGGAGGAGGGGCTCTGTAAGGAAGTGGCAGATTTTTTCCGGCTGTGTATTTTCAAATTCTAGCGCACTCGAGCTGGTTTCTCTAAAATTACCTACCCCACCTTTAATATACAATAAATATTATTATTATTTTATTTTTTTCAAATGTTTTTCTTTCTGTTCAACATGATGATAAATCATGCAGGTTTGCTTATTCTTTTTGTTGTTGTTATTTAATCTGTTGTTTAATCACTTTTATGTTTAACCTGCCTTATCTTGTCCTGATTTTAAATGTTGCCTCTTTAAATGTCATTTTTACTGGTCAATTTGCTGGCCCAGGGGACATTTTCAGATTGCAATAAACAGTCAACTCCAGCACTAAGAATAACATAAATAATATCCAAACAGGTATAACAGGATACAAATATATTGCACAGTTATTGCTGAGAAAATGCTGACCACAAATACAGTCATAAATGTGGTTCATTTGAATGACATTTCAAAGATTATATATTATTTATTGTAATATACATTTTTTGCATCATAGGTACCGTATAGCCAGGAGCCAAATAAATGATAGATGCTTATGATTTGTGTCCGTACAGTGGCTTTATAGCTGTAACAGATTTCATATATATGAAGTCACTCTATTTCAAAGGTAGCCTCTGTGTTGCTACTCTAAGTTAGTCCTGACCCTGAGCCTTATCTCAGCTCCACAGAGAAACCTCCAAAGAGACTCTCTGAGGGTCAGACCCACCTGAAGTCTCAGAGCAAACAAACAGCAATGAGGCACCATGGGAAAAAAAGATGAAGGACATGGCGGATGAAAGGTTAAGGGCAGGCAGTGACAGACAGCGGGATGAGAGGCTGAGTCTCTGTGCTAGAAACCGGCAGGAGGCAGGGAAATATCTGGTGATGGTATGGCAACAGTTTTATCAAATGTATATATATAATAAAATAGCTCGACAAACGGAGAAACAAATAAGAGGGAGGTCATACGACAGTGATGCTAGCTTACCTGGATATAAGGTTTTTAGTAAGAAAAAAAGGCAACTTGCTAGTGTTGAGGCAGCTATACTAAATATTTGTATAACAATAATCAGAACAATAGGGAAAGGTGTCTCTCATAATGATGACATTTCAGATCATTATTACACAAGCCTTTCCATCCAACCTTCCAACAGTTAAAATACTGAAAATAAAATGCTAGAAATATTGCAATAATATTACAGAAATGTAGTAAAATAATCTTGTTGCCCTTGCTTTTTCTGCAACAGTATAATAGCAATAAACCCTATTATTATGAAACAGAATTAGCGCCACGACCCATTTATCTTGATGTCCTTACTTGTTTTCTTCACCTATAGAAATAAGCATTAATTTACATTTATTTATTTTTTGCCGATTTTCTTCTGCCATTTTTTGCGTTACATTTGGATGGATTCCTGTCAAGTGTTTAGATGTTCGTCTGCAACTTTACTGTATCAGTTAACCCTCGTAGCGTAATTGTCTGTAGCAGCAGGTAGCCTTTTTCAGATAAGCAAACTCTAAAAACCTACTTTACGTTACCTTTCCAGCACAAAACAGTCGCAGTAGCATTGAATTATCTTTTTCTTCTTATCAGCATGCAGTGTTTACGTTTGCATTGGTGTGTCTTTTATTAAAGGTGGGGTAGGTAATTTTGGAGAAACCAGCTCGAGTGTGCTAGAATTTGAAAATACACAGCCGGAAAAAATCTGCCACTTCCTTACAGAGCCCCTCCTCCAACACACACGAACGCGCACATGACCAATGAGGGCACGAGATAAGTTTGTGCACAGATGGAAAGCTGACAGGCAGGTAGGCCATCCAGTTATTTTAGCCGGGCCGGCTAAAATGATTGGTCGTGCTTTTTACAGTACTACGGCTTCCACAGATGACATTTTTTTATGGATTTTTTGTCAAAGCACTTAAGATATTCATTGCTATCGGGATGTTAAGAGCATTCCATGGAATATAACAAAAAGTGTATCTCGAGCCGGTTTCTCAAACTATATATATCACAATGTGAACAGTGTACATGCAGTTTATGCGTATCCCGGTTAAATGACTGTAATTAGTTAGTTAGTTAGTATTTGTTATTATTTCTCATGCTGCCAGCAACTCGGGTGTGTTTTATCCTCCATCTGGACCCAGACTCCACACAACAGTGATGACTTGTATCTTGTCTACTACCTTTTGTTTGTCTCTCACCCTCTACCCATCTAGCCGCAGGGTTTTCAAACTGTGATGCGCCCTTCCCCAGGGGGGCTGTAAGGGAGTTGAAAGGGGGGCACAGAGGGAGAAAGGTGAGGAAAATATACCGTGTGAGGGGAAAGGCGGAGCTGAAAACAACAGGAAGTTAGTTATTGTAGTTTGGTCTGGTGATCTGGCTGCTCACCAACACAGTCAAAAGCTTCAGTGGCTGTGACACAAAGCTCATTGAAGCAACTTCAAAACCGTTGCCATCTGATTGCCCAAGTTTGCCTCAGTCGAATCTGAACACACACAAACATTATACACATATTATCATGTTCATTTATCTTCCTGAGAAGATCCTTATCATTAAATCATCTGAAATAAATGTCCATTTATCTGCACGAAAGTCATAAAAAAAACATGCTCCTCATAACTCCAGAAGTTGCCTGAAAATCGTCATGTTTTCACGTTTTCTTGAGTATCAAGATAAGCCACTGATATATGTCAATACATGCGTAGATATGCTGCAAATAGAACTGCTCACAGCTCATTCAGGATACTTCAAATGGTGCCAAAAACGAAACAAATATAGCTTACAAAAACAGGGCTCAAGTTGTAGCTATTAGTGTAACTCACTAAGTCCTTCCTGTTTACATCCCCCAAACTCATTATAGGAAACTTTAGATCCAAAACCAGGCGCATGCTTATCCCCAAAATACAAATGCGATAAAGAGAAGTCCATTATGATTATCTTACCATAATGACTTGTTCCCATTTTGTCCCACAGTATCATACTTTGAAACCCCTTATCTAGCCTGGCAGCCTCACACATGCAAAACCCCCCAACTTCTCTAACGCACTGCATTATGGGAAAGTATGCCTCCTCCTGTGCACACATCCCTACTTCCTCCAGTTCCCCCAACCCCCCACCGCAGTCCAGATATGGGGTTGTGGCCCTGGAGTGTCTTTTAGAGGAGCTAGTGATCTGTAAACTGACAAATGATCTCTGAAGCTGTCTGCCTGGAGCTCGCAGCGCTCAGTGCTGCGGAGCTGCTCTGTGGACGTGGCTGGTGGTAAAATAATGAGCATGTGGCATCATATGTATCCTCGTGCTCCAAATTAAACACATACAACTGAAAGACATTAGCCAGCTGCCACTACATGCCATGCCCTCACATTGGAAAATAGTTGGCTGTTAGGGAAATTGACTAAAAGGACAAAGAGAAAGACATTGTTATACCTGTGTTTGGGTGTTTTGTTTGTGCTTATAGAGACGTTAAAAAAAGTATAGTGTAGCTTTAAAGTTATATTACATGCATTGTGCTGGTAGTGGTGCCCTAAAAATAGCTTTGTTTCACTGAAAGCATTTCTAGGAAAAAAAGTATTTGCTGCCTTGGTTATGAACTGGTCTTGTTTGTTGTTGTTGGAGAGACTATTTGTCAAACGCACACAACTTTGACCCAGGAGACCAAATCCTGGATCCTGAGTCCTGCGTGTGGTCAAATGTACGGCAAAAATTGATTTTATTTGTGATTTAATCATAAAGAAATCATCTAAATGTTTCAATATTGACCAAATAATACAAAAGGTTATCAAGGCAATCCATATAATAGTATAAACATTTCACTAAAATGTAAATATGTAAACCTCATGGTGGTGAATTAGTCTGGAAAAACCAGTCAGTAGGCTTCATCATCCAGGCAGAATTAATGTCTGTATGTCTGAGAACTATCCAAAAATGTGAGTAATTCATCCCAGTAGTCATGTTGCTAACATGGATTAAAAAGTGTAAAAACATCACCCTCATATTGTTCATATTACCCCCCAACAACTGTCAAAAAGCATCCAGACGTAGTGAACACAAACAGAAACATTCCACCAGATCTACAGCAGCGCCATTGTGTGAGGACAATACGCAGCTCCATGCAGAAATTCATCACATTTGTGTGCATGCAAGTGTGCATCTGTGCATGTATATGATAATGGACTTTATATGTTTGGGGGTTTGTGCACGCTCTGCATAATGTGTGTGCACCCAGTGTGTGTGTGTGAGAGTCTAAATGAACAATGTCGGCCATGTGGCGCTGCAGTGGTGGTAATTGATGAATGGGATGTTTAAAGAGCAGAATATGAATGAAGAAGAGTGGACCCCGAGGGAATACTCCCCACCATTGTAATCAAAGCCTTGATAGTGTCCCCGCCTTTGACTAATGGTCCCAAAAAGAAGCCTCTTACAGCCTGCCTCTTCAATTCCCCCTGCTCAGCGTGACGCAGACCTCCAGAGAGAGGCTGGCAGGGTGGGAGGGCGACTCATGGCGGATATTTTACATCAGCACGACCTTTGCTGTCACTCACATACAGGTGAGATACCTGAGCACACGGTGGAGGAAGTATTCAGGTCCTTTACCCAAGTAAAAGCACCGATTCAGCAGTTTAACATACTAATCAATGTATCCTCCTTGAGCAAGGGGTAACATATTTAAATGAAAATAACTTCTCTTTCTATTTGGTGGGACTACTCACAGACATCTGAAATGTGAAAAAGAGCCTGAATTAGAACCTAGTTCGCAATGGAGGAATGTAACTAAGTACATTTACTCAATTACTTTTGCTAATTCGAGGTACTTGTACATTACTAAATACACCATGTATTTCCTGATGCATTCCTCATTTTCTTTTGTCTTGAACTAAAAAGGTTTAAGACGGCTGGTTCAGTCTTTAACAAAGTGTATCAAATGTTGTTTATTGTAAAATGTAAAAAAATTGAATACAAGTACCTCAAAGCTGTACTGAAGCAAATGCACTTATTTACTCTCAGTCACCGCCACAGAGTGAACCTACTGTTTTGTTCCATTAATTTCACATTTAGTTACTAGATTTCTCATTGGGAGTTGCATACCTGTTCATGGCTGTTGATTTATGTAGTTCATATGAAGCCATTCTTCAGGGGCAGGTGATGGAGGAGGTGGAGGACCACAAGGTCCTGATGAGGGATGGGGCAGGAAACTAACAAATCACAAACACAGAGAGACTTACACACTGGTATTAATGAATGACAATCAAACTACAGTATAACACTCGACCATTAGATCAACCTCCAGAAAGGTTGTTGGTATGTTACAGAATTATAATAGCAAGGGTGGAGAACTGTGTCTCTGACTCTAGGTGTGTTCCTCAGCAGCACGTGTTTTATAAAGACAATCTGTGTGTGTGTGTGTGTGTGTGTGTGTGTGTGTGTGTGTGTGTGTGTGTGTGTGTGTGTGTGTGTGTGTGTGTGTGTGTGTGTGTGTGTGTGTGTGTGTGTGTGTGTGTGTGTGTGTGTGTGTGTGTGTGTGTGCGTGTCATAGCTGCTTATTCAGCATGAGCTCAGCAAATCAATAAGTCAAGTCAATCTTGGAATAGGAAAATACTGAAAATTGTAGGCAGTTTTTTAAGAATCGGAAGAGAATATATATATTGTAATAATATAAGTTGGATGATTTATATTGACATAAACAATAATATATATATATATATATATTATTGTTTATGTCAACACAAAACAAACATTTGCTGAGGATCCATATCTACAGAGTGAAACATTTAACTGTATAATTACGCTTCTAGAGATTTAATTTACCCCTATATTGTCTTAACCTATGATAATAGATAACAATAATACGTTGTTGATTATATTTCGAGAACCCAGTGGAGTAGAAGTTCAAACTAGCAGAAAATGGATACACTACAGTAAAGAACAAATACCACAAAATGGACAATAGTCTTTTAAATGTACTTTCCGACCCAGATCATCACAAATTCAAGCACGATAAACCGAATGCTGTAATTTCAAACCACAAAAAAAAAAAATCTGAACACGTTGCAGCGCGGTCACCTGTTTCTCTTAAATGTCACAGTGGTGCAGCCTGGAATATACAATCCAACACACACACACATTATAACACACACTGTGTTGGTGTGGCCTTTTGCAGGCGTCCTCAGAGACGTGGCATTGACAAACCTACAAACAGTAATTGGGCCATTATGACTCCCTGCGATGGTATTGATTCCTCTGTTTTAGGTGCAGGCGGGTAATGGCTGTCTAGACAGAAGGGTTCATATTGCAGGCAGTCGGGCCTGTGCAGTATTAGATACAGTCATTTTGATGTTGCTCATGACTCAGGTGTGTTGTTTTGTGCATTTCAGCCTACTGGAAATTATATTATTTACTGTAAAAGCACATTGGAGCTCTGATTACCCAATACTTCTACGTGCTCTGAGCTGGTGGTTCAGCATGGAGCGATGCAAGGGACAAATGTATACACTAAGAAGAACTCCATATGGGAAAGGAAAGGAGGAAACATGGAGAAGGAGCCCTCTTTTCCCCAGTCCAATTATCACCGGAGTTAAAACTAATCCCACCAGAGCTGGCTGACGACAATCTGTTCCCTAACTTTGAAAATCCAGTCACCTGGAGAGCAGAAGGCAGGTGAGGGATCTCATCAGAGCCTCTCTGCTGATCAAAATCAAATATTACAGAGGCTGGGTTTCCATGGCAATAATGTGCCGCCCCCTCCGTGACATTTGGGGGTTCAGCTGTGAAGGAGCCCCCCCCCTCCCACCTCGTCTGTCTGCCTTCTTGGTCAAAACGTGAGCAGAATTGATGAGTAAGCAGCATCTTGGCCACCTTTTCACCTTGTGAGAATCTACAGATTTGTGTGCACAGCTCTCCCATGGGCTGCACAGCAACAAGACCCCAAACACACTCCCTGCTCTGCAGAATACCGCCGGTCCGCAGAGAAATGCTGAGGCCATCGATTGCTTCCTCCACAGGGGCACCATGTGCAGCCCTTGAGCCCACAAAATGTCAATGGATATGAATTGTGTAAGGAACTCTTGATCCCCTAATTCAATATTGTAAAGCTTCACAAAAGGTCACTCTTTAAGGTGAAATAACAACAGTACTCCACACAGTTGATGCATTTTTAAAAGGTATATTTTCAGCAGTGGTAATAAAAGATGATTCACAACTATTCTTGATTTTATAGTTCAGGAATATATATATAAAATGCACAAGAAAAATACCAAAAACACAACCAAATACGAAGACACGCTTCCAAAAGACAAATGCAAAAGAGATACGAAACGCTACTAAATACGAACACTCTGCAAATACTGAAAACGCAATATAAATACCAAAAACATGCTTAAAAAATATATTACACAACAAAATACAAAACATATTTGATACCAGACACACACTATTAAAACTGAAATGTACTACAAATACAAAAACGGGCCGCATCTAAAGAATATGCAACCAAACAATAAAATGCTTCAAAAACATGGTTCGTATACAAAGACACAAAGCAAAGGAGAACAAACCCAAGCAATTGGAGATTTGCTATACTAGCGTAAGCCTTTCAAGCCGTCCAATTTATGTAAACTGATGAAATACAAACTTTAGTTGAGGGCGCATGTCAAGTTGCTGGCGTTTTGTATTTGTGTATGCTTGTAACAGCAATAAGCTCTCCGGTCTATCATATTGAAAAGCATTTTTTAACCAACGCTCTCCTCCCAACACCAGATACTGCTGCCTTCCCACCTTCTGCCTGAAATATTCATCTGGGAGAGTGCTGTCAGGATGAAACACACATTTAATGCTTACAAGACCACTGCCCCGGGCTCTTCTCACAGCATCAGTCACCTACCATCAAATCAAAGCTTCTTCTGAGGGGTGAAAGTATACAAACTCCCCCATATAATACAACACTGAGAAAGACAAAATAACAGGAGTGGAGTCTGGTGAATATGTAGCTGCTCAGGTCTCAGTGTGCTGATGATCCAGTGCAGCTCTCCGGTCCTTTGTTTATTTTGTCGCAGATGTTCCTGCCTCCATGTGTGTGAGGGAGGGAGTGTGCGGGATGATTTTCACCGTGGTCTGCTGATCTCCTCGCTACATTAGGTCGGGCCATTCCTGTGATTGCTGCCAAAGCTGCCAGTAGACCAAATGAATGTCTCAGGAGGAAAAGTGGGAGCCACCACATGCATATATTTACAGGCCAGACGCAAAAACAACACAAAGCTTTTAAAAGATTGTCACGCTTACAAAAGTGTACTGTATAGAAGTGAATACTTTGGGGGCTTTTACACAACAATATGTCTGTTAACACCAGCGTTACTTCCCATTTCCATGTTTGTGCTTAAGATAGTAGTTTTCTCAACACAAACAGAAACTTCCTCTAGTTTATTAAGGGTTATCTGTTAATCAGCGCAAAACTAAAAATTAAAAGACATTGTAAAATGCCGTTTAAGACAACTATAGTGCTCTTTTTCATTCTATCCATGTTCATGTATTTTGATTGTTTTTCAGATAGGATTATTGGATGAAAGACAGGCGATAAATGTGTTCAATTTTCAGAGTAATTGTTTCTTCACAACCAAGAGATGAAGAGAATGGAAAAGATTGTTGGTTGGAGTACTGTGTGTGTGTGTGTGTGTGTGTGTGTGTGTGTGTGTGTGTGTGTGTGTGTGTGTGTGTGTGTGTGTGTGTGTGTGTGTGCGTGCGTGCGTCGTGCCTGCGGGCGGGCGTGTGTGTGTGTGTGTGTTGGAGGGGCAGTATAAATGAATACACAGAGGGCCTCATTCTGTCTGGTCCATTGTCTTAATTGTCACTATTCTGTTTTGCAGACACTGTCCTGTGATCACTGAAGGAGAATCTGTACAAACAAACACACACACAGACTCAGAGTGGCTGGCAGCACCACTCACAGGTTTCAAACTGTAAATGCATCCACTGAACATCAGCGAGCATAAGTGTGTCTCAAATCTTTATCTGCTTCATCAGATTGCAGTAAATTGGACCTTAGCGCTGCACAAAGAAGTAGGAAAAACATCACTTATTAAGAGGGGGTCTTAAAGGCATGGTTGCCCATCAGCATCCCAAAAGTCTCCCCAGCAACAAATGTGACTGGCTGCTTAAAATTCCCAGAGGTTATGGTTATTAATTATAGCCATTCAGGCATCTCTAATCCAGGTGTAGGTGATTAATAGTAGTCTGAGAGGTGGAGGACGAGGCCTTCAGCAGGTCTAACGCTATAAATCTACCCCTCTCAAGGAAAGATGCAGCATTCAGATGCATCTCTGCCTAAAGTGAAATATATCAATCACACTGTAAAGTATGTGTTTTCACTTTATGAAGCTCTTTTGCAAACTTTTCTATCCCTTAGCTATATGTTGTAATTATTGATTTATGAGTGTATTTTCAGGATCAGTGCCGCAGACTTATGATTTATTGTAGCTTGTGGCTCTGCTTTGTATATCCTCATGTTTAGCTGGAGGAAACCAACACTCCCCACTTTATTCAATGTCGTGTACGTTGTTGAGAAACCAAATGCATCTCAATGAAGTTTAGCTCCGTCCTTTGATTCCTCCCTAATCAAACTGAAGTTTGGCTGCGCAGAAGTTTCCCAGGCACAACACCACATTCATTTTTCATTAAAGAAAGATCGTGGAAAGCAGTTCAGAGTTAGAAAGCGGTGACATGTTTTTTGCTGAACACACCATGCATATTTCATAACGAAAAATGTTTTCTCCCAACCAGCTTTGTCGATGTGCACACTCAGAGGACTTAGGAATGTGAGAAAGTGGAGGTATTCATCTATTGTTAACCATTTGTTTTTGTAGATAAATCACAAACTAAAATCATAGTCAGCTCAAATCACACCGCCTGAAGAATATCCCATTACCGCTAATGGTATTTTATTTTTATTACACCCACATTTCCATAAACTATAATCAGCATAAAACTACTCTGACCTACAAAGGCAAAGTTTACATTAGAAGAAGTGAACTTATGAAAAACAATTTTAAAGTTTTCACTGCATAAGAGATAGAAAGGTAAGGTTTTTAGGCTGTTTATTTAAAAGAATTATGCTTTTTAGGGTTTCCCCTTTCCCGTAGTGTGTTATGTTATTGTGTGCATGTAAATGGTCTGCAAAGGCTAAAATCCCTG